GTGAATGCTACATCATACTGTCTCCCCATAGTAATCCTTATAAATGGATTGCTTTAGTATTTTTCATTATTCACGCTATATTTCAAGAAGTATTGACTATTAAGTACTAGATCAGTTTATATGAGAAGTATTTCAAGTTGCTGGCTAAAATTAGTCGATGTTAAACGTTTTAATCGGAAAGATTAGAGTGCGTCAAGAGTTGTGCAATTTTCTTAGTATCGTGTAGCAAATACTTCGTATATACTGATATTAAACGTGTAGAATCGCAATACGAAAGTAAAGTGTATCATACTGTTAAGACACTATGTCGATGGAAAGTGTTCTTTACCAATAGTATCTCCCAATACGAATCCTTATAAATTAATTGCTTTAGTATTTTTCATTATTCACGCCATATTTCTAGAAGTATTGACTATTAAATACTAGATCAGTTTATATGAGATGTATTTCAAGTTGCTGGCTAAAATTAGTCGATGTTAAACGTTTTAATCGGAAAGATTAGAGTGCGTCAAGAGTTGTGCGATTTTCTTAGTATAGTGTAACAAGTGCTTAGTGCATGCTGATATTAAACGCCTAACATCGTAATACAAAAAAAAAAGCGTATGATACTGTATAGGACACTATATGCTTGCAAAGTCTTCTCTACCAGTTCTATCGCCCAATAGTAATCCTTATAAATTAATTGCTTTAGTATTTTTCATTACTCACGCCATATTTCTAGAAGTATTGACTATTAAGTACTAGATCAATTTGTATGAGATGTATTTCAAGTTGCTGGCTAAAATTAGACGATGTTAAACGTATTCATCGGAAAGAATAGAGTGCGTCAAGAGTTGTGCAATTATCTTAGTATAGTGTAGCAAATGCTTCGTATATGCTGATATTAAACGTGTAGAATTGCAATACGAAAGTAAAGTGTATCATACTGTTAAGACACTATGTCGATGGAAAGTGATCTTTACCAATAGATTCTCCCAATACTAATCCTTATAAATTAATTGTTATAGTATTTTTCATTCCTCACGCAATCTTTCTAGAAATATAGACTATCAAATACTAGATCAGTTTGTATGAGATAGATTTCAAGTTGCTGGCTAAAGTTAGACGATGTTAAACGTATTCATCGGAAAGATTAGAGTGCGTCAAGAGTTGTGCAATTTTCTTAGTATAGTGTAGCAAATGCTTGATGCATGCTGATATTAAACGTGTAGAATTGCAATACGAAAGCAAAGTGTATCATACTGTACAGGACACTATATCGATGGAAAGTGTTCTTTACCAGTTCTATCTCCTAATTCTAATCCTTATAAATTAATTGTTTTAGTATTTTTCATTCCTCACGCCATCATTCTTGAAATATTGACTATCAAATACTAGATCAGTTTGTATGAGATATATTTCAAGTTGCTAGCTAAAGCTAGACGATGTTCAACGTTTTAATGGGAAAGATTAGAGTGCGTCAAGAGTTGTGCAATTATCTTAGTATAGTGTAGCAAATGCTTCATATATGCTGATAT